TTTTATGATAATAGTGTTAATATGATTCACCACGTCTGTTACAAGAATGGATGCATGGGTTACTGCATCAAGATATTCGTAAGTGATTACATTGCTTGAGTTTACTGTAGAAGCTTAACTACTACCACCGCAAAAATCATATATTGCTCCCAATAAAGTGCACAGGCACAAGAAACTTCTCAAACGGCCTCCAACAGAATGATTGACTATACTTGAATGCTATTGTAAATGGAAGTTTTCATTCTTAAAAGATGGCCATTTGTATTTGTTGTTTTACCCAGAATAGCACAAGGACCTAAAGTTGATGATTTCGCATACTGGTTAGCCTGTAGGAACCAGTGATCATTATTCCTTATGCTACTATTTCTTTTAACTTCATTTTTGAGATAGTCTAGGGAGAAATAAACAAGTTGGCCTTTATGAGGCATGGGCAGGAGTAAGCATCCTGTGTGCTCTAGCAGACATTGGCTGCTAGTCAGCTGCGTGTGTTGTCTCTCTGTGTGTGTTATTCAGGACATTACTCCTTTTCTCATTTTAGAACAAATCTTTAGATAAAAGATTGTCTAATACAATAGTGATATGCACCAACATAGTGTTATGTCTTCGTAAAACAATATAGGCCATGTGAAAAGGATGGATGTGAAACATCAATCTATAATAATGAAAAACCGATCTGAGTTTTAGCTTATTAGTGGAACTTCAAATTAAATGCCCCGAGCAATAGCATCAAACGTTGAAAGAATTCTGTTAAAAATATAAAAGGTTAACTAGCCAACCTTAGGAAGTCTGAACCAACAAGGCTGGCCTCTCCTTGTGTGGGAATTATCCATGATATCATCGACTACGAGAAAGTATGCTTGCAACTGCATATATCATCAATGAAAGAATCTCAAAGTGGGAAGCAAACCATGAAATGCAACTATTATAATTTAATTGCTTAGAGGAAGATGCTTATAACTAAGAACGTGAAAGGTGATTGTTTACCCATTCAATGCACCAACCAAGGACACTTGAAAGAAAGAATTCATCGTCAGTGAGTTGGCTTCCTTCTTTCAACAATTGGTAGCTATCAATGACAGAGATACCACGGTTTAGCTTTCCTGCAAACATATTATCTCCATGTCAAAATGGTTCATGAATAAGCACTGGGGCTTAATTTAATAACTATAAAAAATCAAAAATTGTGAACCCTCGCACATGATGTGTCCAGCATTAAGAAATGCAGGCTGGGTACGTTACTCAATTTGATAGCATATGATCAACTTATAAGCAGATAGCTGCTCACCTCCAGGTACATTATAGTCCAGCATCTGCCACAAAAGCAACCATGACAACAAAAGATTATTGGGTCATCCAAATATGAGAGGTTAATGAGTTATATAGCAATTACAAAATGTCAAACGATCTTATAAAAAACACATAATGATGAAAAATATCATATACAGTTCACAGCGTTTCAATCCAAGTATAACTGACTTGATTGAATAAATACTTTCCAAGAGATTCTACTTATTGGATAGAACGGTCATGACCACTTCCGACATTATTAGAGCATATCTAACTGTTACAGGAAGAAGGCGAAATTCCACCGCTTTAAAAGCCCATGAAATTTTCTTTAAGTCGTAACCGAAAATTGACATTTGAGTTATTCGATTTTCAAAGACCAAAAGCAACGCAAGCATTCACGACGATACGCGAGCAAGATCCAAGAGATCCGACGATTTTTAGAGTACTGCTGCTCACCCGATCGATCCATTGGCGGGAGTCGTCGGTGTAATCCAAGGCGGGATCCTCGAGGATCTCCGATTTGAGGCGGGCGTATATCTCGACGAACCTCGACTTGGTATCGACC